TAGGCAGGGGGACTGAACTGCTATTGGGCTTCATCCTTATGGGATTTCGACCAAAGCTTGTCACAGACATTACATTAGGACACCAGGGAACTAGCTTAACTTGTTGAAATAGGGTATAACATGTCTCCTTTAAGGCTGCATTGTGATGAATATCCACAGAAAGCTTTGCTCTGTTGAACAGCGCTCATTCAAAATGCACAAAAGTGGCTCCAGACCTCTCACTAGTACACTACATATATCCTGACTTAAGCAATTATTGAACTCTCACTTGCGTACAATATCCTGACAATGAGAAATGTGCATGTGTATGAAGTATGCGGTGCACGTAAGAGTATTGAACAGGCTAAAGTGGGAGAGCAATTGGTCATGGTGCCACTTAGAAGAAGTGGGTTTCTGGCTGAGACACGAACAGGCCGGCTTTATTTGTATTCTGGAGAATACTGCACATTCATCTCTTTCAGCAGCTGAGGCGCTGATCCTGAGTTAGGTTTATGGCTCCAATATATCAGGCAAAATATGGAAAGAAGATACTTAAATTGACTTGATATTGTGATTTGATCACAGCACTGTAGAAGCATCTTAAAAACACAGCTATTTATTGTTGGTTAATCTTGTTGCCGACAGCAGTGATAACAGGTCGTACCAGAAAAATATATTAATTCATACTTTCCATTGTGGTAAGCATCTTCTGAAAAAACCCAAAGGGGATTTTCTTTTGTAGTCAATTGCTTGTTTGAGGTGGTTAAGTTGCAGTTGTTTTTTCTTCATTAACTAGAAAAAAGGCAGAAGAAGAAGTGTTTTCTTTCAATGGGATTGTGCTTAATTCATATATTATTTTATTATATTATTCTATTTTAATAATAATAATATAATTATTATTATACTGTATATTATATTATATTATATTATATTATATTATATTATATTATATTATATTATATTATATTATATTATATTATATTACTCATATATTTATAAATTAGAATGTATGATTATTATATGATAATATTATAATTCAGATATTATTATTTTACTATGAGACTGGCTTTTGAGCCTCAGTGCCTTTTTAACTGAGACATTCAGTCATCCGGTCAGAAAATATCAATAATCTATGTCTTGCAGCTGGCGAGGGTTTCACATGCTGATTTTCCAGTTTGAATTTACATGCTCAGTTTTTAGTTAATATTAATGACCTCTTCAGTCTGTGCTTAAGCAGCGAAAACACTCAAAGCTTTAAAAACGTTTCTCAAACAGAATAACATGAAGAACAGTCTATAATAGGAGGGATCTGCTAACCGAGGTCAAATGAAACTGGGACGTCAAGCAAAGCCGAAATCACATTTTATTCTGTGATTTATTTTCTCATTTTCTGTGGGATTTGTGAGAATGAATAGAGCTCGATCCTAATGGGAAAACATTACAATATCTGCAGTTCAAATTTACATCTGAGTCCCTCTAGAAAATTGCTTTTTTGTGCTGGAATAACACACTAAATCACATCGAGGAGGAAATATCAAGGGGAAAATGTATTTGATAGCCCAAATGAGAGGTTGTGACAGTGTTTAAAACCATGTTTAATATCTCACCTGAACATTTCCGTGCATGTGGATATCGAGTTTGTCCTGGGAAAGCTCATGTGGAGGTTTGGGCGGTTAGATGAGGACACAGACTTCTGTAAATTAGTAAAGTGAGCTGTGACGTCTCCGTTTATTTTTACCAAACGTTCCAAACATGTTTCTGTTAGAATTCGGCTATAATTACTCACTTTAGCATCGTATGCTATCACATGATCTATTTAAATTACTGATTGTTTTATTCCTTTTTGTCACGTCTGGGGGGATTTCTGGTGTGTTGTCATTTCTTCTTTGATTAACTATTGTGTTCTCCTGAGGTTCCTTTCCCTCATGTGTTTAAATAGTCCTCACTTCCCTTTGTTTTGTGCCAGTGAAGTTTCATCGTTTGTCATTTCTCCTTGCATCTATGTCTTTACTGAGCATTACCTTGCCATCGAACCAAGCCTTGCCTTGCCTCTCCGTT